GGAGGCGTTTGATGAATTATTTATGACCAAAGCAGCCAGCGATACCTAAATCATTCATAATTATTCAAGAGGAACAAGGTCGGTGCCAATCAAACTTCCATCCCTCTTCCCGCAGATTGCAGCGTTTGACATTTGAAATGATAAATGGAGGAGACATTGGCCGGTGTCAGACATTATCCCCGACCTCCTGCTCAATCAGTCAATACAATTACAGGCCCGTTTGCCAGAATTACAATCAGGGACACAGTAAAGGCCGGAATAAAGCCGGAGTCACGGTTTAAAGCTGAACGCCTCTCAGTTTATCTGAATCAAAGGCTTTAAATGAATGAATCACAATCAATTAGAGCCCACCTGTGGTCTAGGGGGGGCTTTGAAAGGGACAAACGTGACACCCAGTGCTCCCAGCATGGCAATATTTATAGTTGCAGCTTAATTATCTTCTTAGTTACCATCACATTAGTGATGATTAATGCTGATAATAACAGGATTTTGTGTTCCTCTGACATTAGGCTACCTCTAATTTCCATGTTCTCAGCATCAGATATGAGCTGAAGGCTCATCCATAGAGTCAGAGATCTCTCTGGTCTTTTAAAGCTTTGTAGTATAAGCATATGTGTTGTTGTTTTTTATTCATATATAATCTGTCTTTTATAACTTTGCTCTAAAGAAGATTACGTTCACTACACAATAATTACACAAAAAACATTCTAAACCTTCTGATTAATTTGTTGTCAGTCATTTTCTAACTGCTCAAAATAAGACATGACTTTCTTACCTGGTACGTGGTCAGTTTAGTTTTGGCGTATTGACGTACTGTGGCCTTATTTACAACACAGCAAAATAAAATCAAACAGAAACAGGTGAACAGCAATGTCTAAATGAATCCATAAGTCTGTCAGCTTGCAATTCACACAAGGAAATCTTCCTTAGGAGGAAATAACAAAGCTGCCCGATTAGATATTTGTACTTTCAAGGTTCCTGCTTTATGAGAGCGTAATGAGAAATTCCGCTGGGATGTCCAGGAAACGGCCTGTGTCAACTCAGTGGGATGGATAAAGCGCTCAGAGTTGTTTAAGCCCCACTCACCTCTGGAAAAACACCAGCTTCAGCGGGCTTAGATTCCAACAGGGCCACAGATTCCTTAGCCATCGTCGTCCCTTAGCCTTCCTTTATGTCCAGATAGAGAGAATGGAAACGCTGAGGCTGAATCTGCAGCCCACTCTATCTTTAAGAGACAGCAGGAGGAGAGGAGATTAATGGGTGTCTGAAAGAAGACTACTGAGAGATCATGGGGGGTGAATCAGTGTGGTCTGGCCCTCCATATTCAGCTGATCTACAGAAGCTGCTGCTCTTCTGTTTCACCAGATGTTATTACCATGTCAGACATGATCCAGCTTTAAACAGGATCATTAAGCACTTTTTTACCATCAGCATCTCACAAAAAACATCATTTGTTCATGTTTTTTTCTTTTTTTTTTTTCTTTATTTCTGCATCTCTGAAAAATGCCAATGATACCGCAGTGTGACAGACAGAAAATAGCATTTTTTTACATCAACAAAGTGATTCCCAAAGAGCTCTTAGCTGAATACTTGGCATATCTCCGGGTGGTGTGCAGTGTATCAGTGTGTCCAACAAGATCCATTTCAACATCAGTTAAAAAGTATCTTAAAATAATTCTGGCAAAGAAAAAAGCCACTAGAGACCTAAGAGATGAATCATCAAGGATGACTGTCTGATGTGAGAACTGTCCGATTGCCAACAGCTTTGTTTTTCAGCTTAACAGAGATCACATTTATTTCTACAACAGCGGAGTGTGACTTGTGAATACGGAAGCTGCAGACATGTGAGTTCTCTTTGGTGATCAACTAAGTGTGATCTTAACCAAATAAAAATAAAAAAGACGACTCTATGGAGGAGCTTCTTTAAAAAACAGGGATCTCTGATCTCCATGGAAACACATTCAGACAAAAATAACACAACAGTGGTTCACAACAGCCAATGGTAGCGGCAGCTTCCAGTTAAGGCTGACATCCACATCCAGCCTAAGAGTGAGCTCAAATTGTTTTTTTGATGATATTTTTTTATTGCTAGTTCTTCAGAGACATACGGTATTCACTGTATTTATGTTTGGATAACAGGAAATGTGTATCTGTACTCAGGCTGTCGGGAATCACCCTGTTAATGACTGCTTAAATTCAATTTTGCCCAATATAAAAGGGACTTTTTGCTGTATTTGAAGGCTTTTCCCTCTATGGAAGCAAAACTACATTGAAAATTGCAAGAGGGAAGGCGATCTCTGGGTACTGGAAATGGCACACGACAAACAAATCCACACGGAAAATCACAGAGATGTAAACACCCAGTTCATATTCAACAGTTTTGGGTCTGTGTCCTGTCAGTAACGCTGGATTAGACAAAGGGGCACTTGTGAAGGTGAAAAGAGAGATTCCGGGCAGAGAGACTTTGCCCCATGTGTCTCTGAGGTGACATTTTCACAACAGCCCCCGGACAGCGTTTTCATAATAACGGCCTCCGGAATTCCCGAGCTTTCAATGGCAGCCTGACTCTGGAAAACAGCTCCTCTGCGGAGCCCGGGCAACAAAGGCTCAGCGCCCTGCCTCCAGGCTATCTCCAGCAGAACCCCGAACATGAGTGCAGAGCTGGCAGCCACTTCAAAGATTCCCTGCAGAGCGGAGCCCCTCCTGGCATTCGCATGGAAGTGTTCCAGGACACATTTTGGGCCGCAGGTTACGGCAGGACACAGCTGGCCGATTTTTGGACGACCCGGCCGCTTATTGACTTCCAGCTTTCATCGTGGTAACGGTTATTTGATGTGTGCACCCCGCACAGTGTCACATTAGCACAGGTCTGAGCATGTGGGAGACGGAGGCTCAAGGGGATCCGCCCATGGGGGAAGAGGCAAACAAATCCTGAACCGAGACATCCTGAGGAGCGAGTACAAGATGGATCATCTTTTCCACTGAGCAAACACAGACGTTGAGCTTCTCTCCCCCCGGTGAGAATCCGAACAACAGAGGTCCCAAAACTGTCACCCAATCCCCACCTTTGAAGAGCGGAACAGCCTATCAGAGGCAGAGTACAGTCTCCCAGGCCGACGCGTGCAGTTTGCAAATCAAGTTCAGCTTCCAGTAACCTCTCTCACAGCTCACACAGGCCTCAGGCTAACACTCCACAGTGAGACATATCAGCTGTGTTCCTCTGGAGCACGTGTTAGGAGTGATGGATGCCGTTTCACTTCAAGGCTGAAGCAAGCAAGGTCACCTACCGGGACAGCAGAACTCTGACGGGGCCGACAGGGGCTTTTTTGGCTCCAACAGACCAACTTCTGCCTCTGCATCCACAACCAGCCCCTCTCAAAGTCCGACTTCTGCAGTAAACAAGGAGACGAGCAGTTTTTGAGAGAGAACCAGAACCAAAGACTCCCGGCAGCCCTCCATTGAGGTCTGAGACACACGTACTTCTGGTGACTCAGAGGATTTGATGTCAGATGGCAGATATCCAGGACAGTGAAGCACTTCAGGGATGTAGACAACCCCAGCCTGTAAAAGATTTCAACAGAGAGACTCTGTGTGGAATATATATATACATATTAGTTCCTAAAACTTCTAGTTCTTAAAAACTGACAGAATTCTGTACAGAATCAGTGTTGTAATAAATGCAGTCATACCACATTTCATTTTTAACTATATTTAATTACACATTAGTATACTTTTTATACACAAATTAAAGATGAATCTTCCAGTTCTTCTTCATCTTCCAATTAAGTTACAAAATACATTGCACAACACAGATCTTTCTGATTCATTTCTGTGGTACCATTAAACTGTGTGGTCCATGTTTCTGCACCAAGATCTACTAATTTAACCTTTAAGTGTACAGGTATAAAATATATTATAATGTAAACACAGGTATGCAGTGGCTGAGGATTCAAAATGTTTAAAAAAATAATTTAGAAATCAGGAGAAGTGTTGCTAAAAATGTGCTCTAATGTCACATGTGCAAAGTCATTGATGCTCCTTCTGGTGATTCCCGTCATGCGGCTCAGTTCCTCCACCACCTGCTTCATTAAAGAAAGAGCAGTCAGAAAGAGTCTGTGTAGTATGGGTATTTAAGAGACTAGGTAAACACGTTTGTTTCAGACAAATGATTGAAAAATATATCATTTAAGAAATGAATCAGAGTTGTAAATATGCATAAAAACCACTCGTGTTTGACCTGATCCCATTTCCCCACGTAGCAGATGAAGGTAGCCACAGCGATGACACCAACACCGAGAAGCATGAAGTCCTCTGTCACCTTCACAAACATCTCCCTGGTTTTCAAACAGGGCAAATGAGGGGTTTTTCATATTAAAAATGGACCAGCAGAGTTTTGTTTCTTTTTCTCTCTCAGCTCACAGCTCTCACTGCAGCTGTTTTCAGCTGAAGGGCCTTTCCATTCAAAATTAGACATTTAAACCTAATTCTGAACAAACTGAAGAACACCAACTTTTAAATGGACAGGGTGTTAAAATTAAAACCAATTATCCAACTATGTTTTCACTTTCCTAAGAAATTCATGATGGTATGGTGGTCAATTCAGTTTCTCCTTACAACCAAATGGCCCTTTTTTATGTCTAATGAGTAAACATGGTGTAAAACAATGAATGGTTCTGGTCTTCTTCCACTCTATCATCAAAGTAACGACCTCTCCTAAAACATCTCTGTGCCTTAAAGTGAAATGCCTTACCTCTGCTCCCTGGATGGGGAGGCACACTGAGTGGTGAGCCTTAACAATTGGCCGTAGATGGCAGTCCTCTCCAGGGTGATGAGCTGCAGCACCGGCTGGCACAGGCTGTAGATCCTCTCCACGTGGATGGACGGCTCATTGTGTCCTGTTCAATAAACAAGCTCACAGTCAGTCATTTTGCCCCGTTATTTCATCCACAGCATGAACGCAGCCGTTGGATTGTCAGTGCCCCGTACCGAGCACCTCCAGCAGGGTCTCCACACAGGTCAGCGGGTTCAGGACGTTCAGCCTGAACGACAGCGTTTTACAGATCATCAGCTCCGACTCCATGACGGTCTGTTTGGAAACAGTGAGGCCGGCGGAGTGCAGGAAGCGTACGGCAGCACTGCTGCTGATCATCTGGGCCAAACAGTCACACAATATAGTCTCAAATAGCCGGGCACTATTTGAGACTATGTAAGTTCAGAACTTACGTGATAATGCAAAGACAGTTTGTTTGCAATCTGCACGCAGGTGAAGAGGATGAGAGGGAATTTATCCTTGAGTTGATCAAAAATGACGCTTTCACAGCTCCCGGGCTCAGCGGCAGCCGCGCCTCGAGGTGAAGGTGCGATGAGCAAATCTGAGAGGTATTTGACCATGAACCTGGAGGGAAGCATCAGCCTTAAACACAACAACATGCAGAGTGTGTGACAGGGAGAGAAGAATGTGGCGCTATGCTTTACCTTTGCAGCAATTCAATGGCGTGGTACCCAACTAGAGGGTCAAGCTTTAGATCCTGAGTAATTAGGAAGATGTACTCTGAGGAAAGAGGAATGAATTATGTGAAATCAACACAAGTTAAAACAAAGGCTTTTCATAGGTTTGCACAAGCCCACGTGGATGTCTGTTGGCTATAATACCTTTGAGTTGATAAATGTGTTGGAGGTAAACTCATCCTTTAGATGATACTGAGGCAAATGATAAAGTCCATAAAAAGAAGAAAAGAGTATGATGGAATCATATACAATACATATGTTTCTATTTTATTTTAGATACTTATTTGTGCAGTAAAAACAGCCAAAATGTGTGCAAGTAAGTCGCCTTTTGATTGCTCCCTCCATCCTGTCAGAGACACACAGATAGTCGAATCCTTTTACACTATACTCTCCTTTGGATTTTCCCCCTTGAGGAGTTTACACTGAAAACTGACCTCCCATAATGACAGGGCTCCAAATTAAAGGCGAAGGAGAGACTAAAGAGAGATGACAGGGTACGATGATGGGACATTTACAGGAGCCGCAGCGTAACAGTCACAGCAGTGGAAGCTGTCTTCTGATTTCTTTAATCAAATACAGATACAGGGATACAAATACAAATACAGGGAATGAAACTGTTTACGAGTAACTCCTGTAGAAAGATAACGTAAATTACTAAAAGACCAAAGACATTGTTACACAAGTTTGTAGTTCATCTTACTCATAAAATGCCTTTTTTACTTTCAAATTTGATTCTGGATCAGTTAAATATCCACTTAATAACACCACAAACAACTTTCAAGAGAGAAATAACTGTTAATAACAATTCATAGACATGTCAATCTGAACCTGAGTTTTCTTTTTTATACCAAAAAAAATCAAGAACAATAATAATAATTGGAAAACCACTGTAAATCTCCTTAAAGCCTTTAGGATACCTCTATGATACAACCACTGTTTGGTATTTTATGAAAGAGGATGGTTCATTTTAAAATAATGAATTGTATTTTAAAATACAGCTGTAAATATATCCACCGTTCAGAATATGATTTTGTTCAGGGTGGATTAAATCTTTTAAACAATATTGAAGGGCAACGCCTTCATAATGCAATATTATCTGCCTATAGCACCAGCTGTGTGTAATTAAGGGGCAATTACAAGCTCGTGAGGAATTGTGATTTTTTTAAAGTGCAACAATTAGTTCAAAAGTCAAAACCTAGAAACATAGAACTGCATTGTAATGTTTTTATGCACTTTACGAGCAAACGAGTTACTTTGAACTCGACTCACTTACCAACCATTCTTTTATCTTTAAAGCTTCCGCTGCATATTGGTAGATTATTGAGGTAGTCCCTGTTTCTTTTGTTGACATTAATGAGAAAATCACTGAGAAGGTCAGAAGAGGCTTGCCGAAAGTTAACATTGGCGGTTTGGCGTGTAGAAAATAGTTTTTCCGTCATTTCGAAACGTTACCCAGCCTTGACGTTAACGTTAGCCTTCCGTTGTCATTCGGTTTAATCTAAGAATAAACTCAACATGAAAGAGTAAGTATAAAAACGCTTTTAGTTTTTAGTTTAAAAATAAAACAAAAAACCCAGAACAGGCCCTCTGGTTCTTATAATACTAACGGTCTCCAGGAGGTGGTGCTATTTTAATTGTTTGGACCTAGGACTTTTTCGTGATAGGAACCAAAAGTTGAATCCGAGCCTATTTGTACGTTGCACAATTGTGCCCGGTTTGTACGGCACATCCGTTGCGCTCACCACAGATCTGACAGTACACGGATGAGCTTCCTGCGTTGCACTTTGACATCGACAGTCTAGTGGCTCGTTTGAAAGTCAGTGATAATTGAACAGTTGTGAAACCGCCTCTCTTCCTCCACTGACTGCAGACATGGCAGACAAGACGCCTCCGAAGTCCGAAGCCCCATATGCAACCAGGATAGATCCAACTAAAGATAGTCTTTCTCGCGAACAGATGCATTACATTAGACAAGTAGAGCTTGCGCAGTGGAAGAAGAAGACGTCCAAGCTCCGAACACGAAACGTTGTGACGGGACTCGCCATTGGAGCGATCGTAATGGGAATCTGTATCCTTGCCGTGCACATGAACGTAAACGCAAGGTGAACTATGTAATGTTAGCTTAGCATGCTAATGTTGCCGCTGTAGCTCCCGACGTTAAGTAAATGAAACTTTCCAGCTTTGTAGGCTTTTGGTAAATTGTTTGTTTGACATATTTGACAAAGTTTCATTTGGTGTCCGTTAGCTAAAGTAGCAGGAAGGGGTCATATCGTTTGACATCAATGGTTTGGTTTGTCACTGCTGTCTTTATCCCTGTTGTAACTGTGCTCATTTAGCAAGTAAATAACCCACATTTGTTAAACGAGTTCCCTGAACGCATCAGTGACTGTTCGTTATGTTCTAAATGTAAGGGAGAACTACTGAATTGACGTAAGATTATTTAGAAATGTAGAATTTAAGATGATATATTTTCAGAATTATAATCAAGCAGCTTCTTTAACAAGAAAAAGGACTAAAAGAAATATTCAATTTGACTTGAATCACGCTTATTTATTCATTTTTTATTTATTTATCCACACATTATGAAGGAAAACATACAAAGATGTATAATTTCATTTGTCTGTCTATGCATCTTTGATGCCCTCCAGTGTATGAAAGCACAATCCTGAAGTCACTCAGAAAAATGTATGTTTTCCAATTATGTCAGAAGTCCCTTTTGAGTTAGTGGATGAGGAATTTGCTTTTATCAGTAATTTACGCTTGGTGTAACATTTGATCATTTTTCTTTTATTTCATTATTACAACCTCTACTTAAAGAGTGGTAAACAAAATAATGGGAATCCCAAATGCAATACATTTTAGAGTGCAAGTGGGGACATTTTTAAACTTTTTGATTTAAACTTTATTCTAACATTCATTTAAAACTAAAATCTTCCTACACCTGAGTGTATTTGACACTCTGCTTAACGTCTTTCCACCCATTTTCAAATATTCGCCCTAACCGTTTGCTCCCAAATCAGACGGCTACACGTTTTATTCAGTCTCTCAGGAGCGGATCATGGATGAGATGGATGAGGAGGCCAAGCAAGCGAGACTGCAGGGACCAAAGTCCGGTGCCAACTGAGACGAGCGCGCCGCCTGCCTGTTGATGGACTGTGTGTTTGTCCTGCACTTAACCAGGAGGCAGAGATGATGCCACTGACTCATATTCCATGACTGGCTGCTGTTTTTATAAGTTGGATAAGACGATGTTTACCTGGACTTTGTTTTGTTCTGATTGTCGGGTTGTGTGTTTCTTCTGCTGACTTTTGTTGATGTGTCTTTGATCCTGATTAAGTTTCCTCTCAGTGGAATGGACTAACCCACTGACCTTAGCCTTTTAATGCTACTCGGAAGGCCCAAATTGGAGCTTATTACCTCCCCAAAGCTGAAGTTCCCAGCTCTGATCATGTAAGGTGCACACAGTATGGGGCAGGACACCATATACGCCGTAGCAGTGGGCTCATAATTTTAAATCTACAGTGGCCTTTAACAAAAAGAGCGCCAGCGACACTTAGCAAAAGACAGATGTAAATGGGTTGAAATCTCTTATTTATGCGCATGAAGTGTTGATTTATATAATAAAAATCGTTATTGAATCCATATACTGGATTGTAGTTCATGTACAGTCTTTCAAAGTTTTGTTTCTGTAAATAAAACACACAAAGTGAAGAAGTAAACACGACAAAGGAGCAGTGGTATTTACATTTGCATTTATTTCTTTCAAAATTTCATATATGGAATCTGATCTAGCCACGAAATCTTGGATAAAAATATAAAGTAAGACATTGTAAGGGAAAGGCACAGATTCAGCTTGGCAGGAGAGCAGCTTCAGAAGCAATAGTTATCTATTTAATTGGAATTTCCTTGAATACATCACAAATATTACAGGAGTTCAACCGCCAGAAAATTCAGTGTGCGAATATTTAATAAGGCAGCAGCTACAGATTCACAGCTTGGACTGATTGTTCTCTAAATATGGTCAGGATTCGTTATGATGAGTTGTCGGGATCAAACGGACTGAGAATAAAAGTGACTCCAATGTAGGGAAAAGGCAGGAAAAAAAGCTATTCCTCGAATGAACAGTGACTGAGAACTAAAAACAGATTTCACTAAAGTGCACAAGGTGCTTGATCTATGGAACAAGCGGCAAATGCTTGAAAAAAAATCAAGGTAACAGAGATATTTAGTTTACATATCATTTGTAAACATCTATAAATCCATTCAGTTATATACAAATGTACAGTCAACAGGACAGACAGCCGTCTAAAACCTAAACGCCCCCCTTTCCCATTCCAATCGACACAGAATGTTAAGCGTGTTTTCTGCCCTTGAGAACAATTTCAGCTTCCCATTTGACAGTTCAGAAACCAGATCTTTTGTCTTACTCCACCTCTAAAATCACAGCGTCCTCATAACGTGTCGCTGCGCCCTGCTGCACATTAGGAAGTCACATCCTTCAAACGCATGGAGATTATTCTGTCGCGTTGCTAAATAAAGCTAAAGGCGGACCAGATTCCACTGACTGTTGTGTCTTAATTGTCACCGCCCCGAACAATCACAGGCCTACCGTGTGAGAATAAATAGACTGCGGTCAGTGTCTGCGGAGGGCATCCCTGACCGGCAGCCGTGTGCGAGTGTAACAGCTGGGAATAAAGCGTCAGTGTGGTTCACGTTAGTTGATTAACAGGTTCGGGGTCAAGTAAAGCAGGAAAACGTCAGCTATTGTCTTTCTGGGTCAGTCTAACGGTTAAGTGGCAGCACTCTGGACCGTCGCTTGACCGCGTCAACGAGAGAAAAAAAACGCAAATTCCTGTTCATCTGCAAAGTGTTTGGGCAGGCCTGACAGGTCTAAGCTGTTGGGTCTGATAATATATACACCAGCTCAAAAAAACGCCACTGTTGGCGTGGAAACCGGAGCGCCCGGCGCATCGGGCCGCCGCCGGTTTCTGACGGAGGGGCCGGAATCTGGGCGCCCTCGGCTGGTCCAGCTCCCCGATGCCAGCTTCCATAATCTGAGGTAAGCGACTGCTGACAGAGAGAAGCCGATTGCTGATTGGTGCGCCGGGGGTGGGGGGTTAAAGCCGTCCTCCGACAGGGAGGGTTTTGACCACTTGCAGTCACTTCAGATGAGGTAGTCCACATGTACAAGCGTGCATGGCTGAGAGTTTCTCACTAGAAAAAGAGACATGATTGAAAAAAATATTAAAAACAGTGAGGAGTGACGTACTTTTTCTGTATTCAATGATGAGACATATGAGGCTTCTCGACCCCCGTGCTGACTCACCATTCTACTGATGTCGGTGGCGAAGGTGACACCTTTGTGTTTCTCCTGTGAGCCGCTGCTGCTGCCCCCCAGGGAGTTCCTCCTGATGATGCCTTCAAAGACAGTTCACGCGAGTGTGAAACAAACGAGTCGGCGACCGTCGGAGACGTAAGAAAAAACTGTTTTTCTCCGTTACCCTGGAGCGGCATCAGGTCCAGGCGCTGCAGGCTGTTCCGGCGGGAGGCCGGGAAACAGCTGCCCTTGGACAGGCGGCGCTGGCGGTTGGAAAGCATGGCGGCCGGAGAGACGATCCCCGGCGGGGGGACCTTCCCCATCTTCTCGTAGAGCTCCTCGATCTCTCTCTTCTGGGCGGCCTGCAAAGCCTGGACCTCCACCAGGTGTCTGGTTCAAAAGTAGGAAAGGTAAAATTATTTTCCACCACTTGATTTGAGATAAAATACAATTTCATCCCCAAAAATCTGGATGAAAATATAAAGTTAGACATTGTAAGGGAAAGGCACAGATTCAGCTTGGCAGGAGAGCAGCTTCAGAAGCAATAGTTATCTATTTAATTGGAATTTCCTTGAATACATTACAAAAATTACAGGAGTTCAACCGCCAGAAAATTCAGTGTGTGAATATTTAATAATATTAGATATTTAATAATATTAAATATTCACAGCTACAGATTCACAGCTTGGACTGATTGTTCTCTAAATATGGTCAGGATTTGTTATGATGAGTTGTCGGGATCACCACTTGATTTGAGATAAAAAACAATTTCATCCCCAAAAATCTGGATGAAAATGACCAAAAGATGAAAAATAGAGCAAAGGTCAAAGAGAAAATGACTGATTTGTATTTATTTTCTATGGTTTGGTGTTGGTGTTCCTTTCATTAGCTTTCAGCTAATGTTTTAGCTCGGGGGGTGTCACCTACCTCTCCCTGAGCTCCTGGAGCTCCTCCAGCATCTCCTCGTCCTCGCTGTCCGAGTCGTCGCTGCTGATGTAGGCGGCGCTGCGGCTGTAGGTCATCATCCACAGGTGGTGGAGGGCGTTGCCGTGCTGCGGGCTGCCCGCCGCCCCGTCCCACAGCCGGCCCTCCGCCTCCGCCGCGGTCAGCGACAGCCCGCTGTCCGCCGACGTCCCCAGCAGGCTGAGGCTGTACGCCCTCCTCCGGCTCCTCTTCTTCAGCCTCTGCCGCTCCTCCACCACCTCCTCCTCCTCCTCCTCTTCCTCATCTCTGTCCTGCTCTTGGCCGGCGGCCCAAGCCGCTTTACCGTCGGCCGGCTGGACGCTGCCGGACCCTTTGTGGGCGTGCGGGTGAGGCGGGGACAGGGTGAGGGAGGTGCCCATGCTGGCCTCGGACTCCCCCTGCTCCTCCGTGCTGCTCTGCGTGCCGTCGCTGTCCGCCGGCTGCGCGGCGGCGGGGGGGGGGGCGGGCTCGGGGACGTCCAGGCTGGGGGTCACCTGGAAACGGCCCACGATCTTTGGCGATGAAGGAGATTCTGCCATGCACGAAAAAAAGATTGTGAGAACAAGCACCTAAACCAAGCATCTTCCATTATCCGGTTACATGTTTTTTTTTTTACAATGTTCCCTTGTTTAAGCCATTTTCAAGTTAGTGTGAATTATAGGAGTTATAGGATCTGTTTACTTTTAATGTCAACAAAGAAGTTGAAACATCAGGATAATTCGTTTTTATAAGTCACAGCTATCAACTGGCTAAACAGCAGCGATTGCTCTCCTAATCACATCATTCCCAGACAAAGCCTCAATTCTTCCCGATCACGGGGTTACATTCAAATCTTATTTGGCAAAGATTTAAAAGAGCTTTCTCTCTGTTTCCTCCAAATTAGCGGATCCAAAATGAATATCTGCTAGCATGGACGGGCTCAAATTTATGAGCAGTTACTGAGGAAACAGCTGCATGAATATCTTAGTGCAGGGTGAACTTCCATTTTCTAAAAAGCTAACAATTACACAATAATTACTTACTCAAGCCGGAAGGGATAGACTATTCAGAAAACTAAATGTGTGATAAAAGGTTGAGCTGGCTTTGAAAATGAGGGGAAAATGCTATGTCAAGTCCTGCACATTTACATTTTGTGACACCTAAACAGTCTTTCCAGTCTGAGACAAAAAGCTTATGAAACATTCTTGAAAATGAACTTCAGCTCCAAAAAGAGTTGCATGAGGACTTTATTATTGCTCATCTTGGGAATGATATTTCTTACCAAAGAAAACAGGCCTCAGACAGCTGTTTATAACCTGTTTTCCTTTATGGGTTTGCTATCATTATGGGATATGTTTTCTTTGTTTGTTATTATTTGAAAGCTGGATTTGAGTTTTAATGAAAAGGAAATTTAATTGAATCAAAATATCTTTAATTATCCAGATGGGAAATTTGAAAGTTATTTTGAAAGTAAATTTAACTGAATGTTGACACTTTAATTACTGAAACTTTAACATGCATATATCTTAGTATTTGGCTTCCTGTAAAGGGGCACTGAGTAAGATGTCTTACCACACAGTATATGTGAGAAGTGCTTAGCGCTCTAAATGTCGCAGAATCAAATGAAATACTATGCAATGGATCATTACTTCATAAGCACTAGTTCATTATTCTCTCTTTCATCATGCAAATTGATGCTTGGTGCAAATATGCTGAAAATGAATAAGTGCTTATTAATCATTGAGGCACAAATAAATTCATATAAGGTGTCTTTTAAATTTTTTTCTGGCTTTAGTGGTCTTCATTTGACAGTGGCATGAGAGGAAATGGCCACGAGACAGAACCAAACCCAGACTGATTGCACACATCAACCCACCGAGCCAAACAGCAGCCCGAAAAGTGTATCTTTAATTCACGATTAACCACAACGATTAAAAGGAAGAAAAATAGGGAGTTTAATCTCAGCCATCAGGTGTGATGAAGCAGTCCGGACACAGGAACCGCAACCAATCAGAAGATAATAAAGTAAAGAGGGAGAGCTTGATAAATACTTATTACGTAACATTTTCAGGAACCATTAAACCCACAACTGATTTTCATGTAATTGGAAGCAGATGAATCATTAGTAGTTCTACGCTGTTTGCTGGCTAAATCAATCAGGAACTACCCATGACGAAACTTATCAGTTGATCAAATCATAGATTTCTACCAACCAAGTAAAAAAATACATGTTATGATTTGTTCTTCTCTTGGTAATTATCTCTTACCCCGTTCTTGACCGCTATGGGCCATAGGAATATTCATTGTTTCACCAGTTCTCGTAACTCATTTCTTAACTAACTTATCACAGACTAAGTGTTGATTACTTCCTAAAGTTTTCTTATCAAATTAGTTTCCTTATAACTAAAAATTGTCTTCCTTTTTGGAAAGTGTTACTCAGATCCTAACACAACTTTAGGCTTTTGCTTACACCTGCAGTGCCTGACTTTGCCCACTGAGTGTCCCTCTTGCAGAAAAACTGAGAACATGTGAGTGTGTGCCCACTGGAACAGAGGGCCTCTGTTGAATGTGGGATTCTGAAGTGGGTATAAATACTGACAGGTGTGGGTATTGGAGGAGAGGCCCGTAACGAGCTCCACCGCCCGCTGATTGGCCAGCGCCGGTGGGCCGGGCTGCATCACACCTACGTTTGTGTTCACATCGAAATGGAACATTACAGTCAGAGGCGGGATTACGCAACAGATCCTGGAGCAGCATTAATAGGCGATAATGTCCAGGGAGAGACATGGAAAGAACTGAAAACAACTCAAAAAGCTAATTGTCTGTGACAAACACATCAACCTGTATTTTGGCTGAATATATGGTGGATGGTAAAAAAAAAAAAAGGTTGCATTTGTGTGTATTCACATGCAATCTGTTTGTGGTTTTATTTGAGGTACAAACATAAACATCTTACAGTACGTCATTTTCCAGGTCTCCATGTTTCTGGCAAGAGACTCTCTTTATTTAAAGTGCTAATGATGCAAAGATCTGTTTTGAACATGTGAAAACAAACAGAAATTCTTACCAGTATCGGCGATAGATTTCTTTTTTGAGCTGCAAGCATTCATCTCAACTCCAACTGGGTGTGACTGACTGTTGAATGATGATATCTACAGAAAATGGATAAATATTGCTGGATGTTAGTGCCTAATTGACTCTGCAATCCAAACGATAGCTGACATTAAATAATTCTAATCAATGCATCCCATTTTTTCACACTTCATTTATGATTCTCATTATTGTGAAAAATGTTAGAAAATAATGAAAAATGTCTCCTTTTCTCAACCGAAGAATAGAACAATATTCTTCTTCAACATCAGTGAGTAAAGCTATGACAAGCTAGAGTTTATAAACAAAACAACAATGCCAATAATGGGATTGTTTACTTTTCTGCTGATTAACGAATAATCATCTTATTAATTCAGCTCTCACATCTAAACTGTGAAATAAACGTCGTCACAGATAACTCACAGTGCTGTCGGGGCTGATCGGGGGCGATGGGGAAAAATCCGACGAGGAGCATGATTTGCACATTTCAGATCTGATTTTGGCCAGCGATGGAACTTGGGCCGGGCACGGGGTCTCGTAACTGTCCTCCTGGGTCAAAACGGGCGAGCTGGGGGGCCCGGGCTGATGGAAAGCGTCCAGCGTGGCCTGGGGGGGAGTGGAGGGAGCTGAAGGCATGGAAGGGGGAGAGACATGGTGCGGCCATTGTGGATGGGCGCTCTGCTGGAAGCCCACTCCCTCCATCTGAGGGGCATGCTCTGGGCTGTGGTAGAGGCTCTGCGTTGGGATTCCCGCCGAAGCGTACTGGGCGTCCACGGACGGCGTTGGGTAATGCTGCGGGTACACGGAGGGGTAACCCGACTGGGAGGCCATGTGACCCTGCAGCTGGGGGTGGAAGCCCGGGTAGGAGGGCATCCCCTGAGAGCTGAGGTTCCCAGGAGGGATGAAGGACTGGGCCATGCTCATGGCCATGGAGATGACGTTAGCTAAGGAAAATAAGGGCTGGGAGTGGGGGGGCCACATGTTGGCGTGCTGAGGGGCGGGTGAGGACATGCCGACGTTTTCCACGCTGGGGCTCGGGGTCTCGCTGGAAGGAGAGCTGGGGGCCGGGGAGGGAACCGAGGGGAAATTGGGGTTACTGGCTACACGGGTGAGGGGGGGGTGGATCTGCGCCGGCTTTGGAGAGCTCGGGGAACCCGGGTACGGGAATGGAAAGTGAGTTTGGTTCATGTAGGGCAAGTGATAGTGCTGGTGATGGGGCAGGAGAGACGCCGGGTTGTGGTGTTGCTGATAGTGAAGGGGAGAACCTGGAGAACAAATACACAAAAAGTTTTTATGAAGTCATTTTGAAGATCATCAACTGTATTAACGGCACACAGTTTGAGCATATTGAGCAGGTTTAACCCCAAGTTGTTGTTTTTTTGCCTCTATCTTCAAGCTTCCTGCCAGGATACACATAATTTGTAGGATAAATCCTTCCTGTATTTTCTCATTTGTGTCCATGATGAACAAAGACATTTTGTTTAAAGCAGCATTTGAGTATAATTGCATTCGTGAGCCAGAATACTCGCACACTGCTTGAACCACTGTGAGGGATTTAGCATCAATGGAGCAAGTGAGGCTTTCACGGATAAACGTTCAGAGGAGATTACGTGGAACACACGTGTGTGTACACAACTTTTTGGGGCTGATTGTGAGATTAAAGAAGTCAGGATTTCAATATCATTGCTCGGGGAAGGAGTTTGGGATGCCTCAACAATGGCCCCACAGTTAGAGACCACACCTCCTCCTGCTGATGATGTAAACCAGCCTCTGCTTTTTCCACTCTGGTGGAAACGCGAGTTAGGGAACACTCTGTAATGGTGGCCGGTGGCCACAGAGTATTGCAAAAGCAGCCATGCAAGCAGATGTCCAGCAGAGAGAGTTACACGGCACAAGAGGCCATGAGGATGTTCAGATGGAGGAAACAGGGGGCAAATAGAGGATTCGTGTTATTAAATTGACTTCAAATGACTCTCCTGTGGGGAGGGAGACTTTGAGGCAGGGAGGAGACATTCTTGGAAATTATGCAGGAGTTTGTGCTGGCAAACAGATGTTGCTGACTATCGCAGAGCTGGAGAAAGCTAATGCTTTACAGCGACAGCATTCACAGCTCCCTAAAAGCCAAAAAGCGCCCTTCAGGTGAGGTAATTACCCCTGAGGCCCTGCAGCAAGGCAGACACAGACGAAGGCTTTGAGGCATGGGGATGGTGGATGGCGCCATGCGAATGTCTGAACAATACTGAGGAGGGGAGGTGGGGGGGCGCTTATGAGGTAGCAGAAGTTTGCTTTGACTTATTCTTCTGCAAAGGGCGGCAACACTTTTTCAAAACGCCGAAACAGTAAACAATGCAAGGGTTCTTCAGGTGGGAACCGGAGGGAGGGTTCGAGGGGCTATTTACCTGGGGCGTTGTGGAAAGACTGCGAGCGTATTAAGGGTCGCCCAGGTGAAGTAATGTCTGCATAGAGGACATCTCCATTGGGGCATGGGGGAGAGCCACGCACCCCAATGCTGGGGTTAGCCAAACTGTAGTCTAAGACAAGACACACACATGCATGAGTAGGCTTTCACACCAGAGCGCACGCACACAGCCATCATGCACAGTCAAAAAAAGATGAAGAAAGTTAATAATGCATGCTATTAACTACATTGTTTATGCGACTCAAACAAAGTTGATGTCGCCTATTGTGAGAAGCTAATGTACAGTAAGTGAACTGAAACAAGCAATGCTTACCAGGCAGAGAAGAGGAGGAGTGGGTTCGAGGCATGGTTTGACTGTGTAGATTAGGCTGTAAAAGACCAGACTTAGTTATAAAATTAAAATCAGAAAAATGGAATCCTTTCATCTTAACAGAAGTTGCACTGTTGATTTATCATCCTCTCGGAATCTTTTAAATGAAAGATCTAAATTTTGTAGTGAAACATGTTTGTGAATGGGTTTGTAATCAGATTTTCTATATTAACAACAAAGCCATTTTCACAAGCCGCGTGGTAACTCCCTGTAAGCAGACTGTGACATGTGAAATCCCAGTACTTATCCACTAAGCAGGGTGCTAAACCACGGGCTGATGTAGGCGGCCCCAGGGCAAAACCTCATACATATTTTGCATGTCAGTGAAACACGTAATTTAACTGATGGGCAGTCAAGTCTGTTCGGGGTGTTAAGGAGAAGAAAATGAGGAATCTGTGCAGTATAAAATCTCAGGCCATTTTTGGTTAATATATATGAGGTAATTTAATGGGAAGTTTTTAAAACTTTATAACTAGGCCTTTTAATCCACCTCATTCCACAAAAGCAGAGCTGTGGAGGATCTAGGCCTTTTTCTTCGGCCCTGGGGATATCAGTGGAGGTCTGGTAGGTGGCTGATCGGCCTACCTGAGCAATTTTTAACTGAGCTGCCCTGAAGCTTTAAAAAGACAATAAAGATTCCCAGAGGATGAAAAAGAATGACTGTCTTATGTTTGTGCCATTAACCAGTGAGCCATAGTTTTCTTGTGCAAAGTCTCAAAATCCCCAAAATACTGGCACAGCATTTTGTAAACAGATCCATGGTGCATTATGTAACCTAATGATGCTGTAAAACCACAAATGTGATTTTATTATTCAGAAGTCTCTCGTAACTCCGTCTGGATTACCATTAAATCATTTATTATACCTTTAAACTGCCTTCTCTGAATCAGCTGCGTAATATCATACTAATTAGCTAATATTAGCTAATATAATTATTTAGCATGCTAACATGCTAAACTAACAGAGGACATGGCTAATTTGATGCTGTTTTGACTTTTTTTTTGTCAGTCGTGACTAAGGAAAGCTGGGACAGCCAGACGAGTTTGGCTTTCCAGGGATTTAAGCTCCATCCATTTATAGAAGTTATTAATAGCATCTCAAAATAGCGACCTACCTACAAATCACAACAGCCTGATCAGAGTATCTGGGTTTGTCAAATTTCCTCAAACATAACTTGGTAGTTGTACTTGTTAGGTGTTTTATTTTTAGCTTGTACAGCACTGGAGAGTGCGGCCATAATAGTTTTTGGTTGAACGTTGCAGAAATCAAGTGCTGGATTCAAGCCAGAAGAGATTTTTCCGAAGTACTTTACAGTAGCCTAATGGTGCAGCAGAGAGGTCAGAGACATGCTGGTCAAGGTCTCAAGAAAGCCACAACTTCTATTCCAGGGCAAAGGAATATTTTGTTCTTTGTGCTCTGGAAAGTGGAACCAATCTAACAGAGCTGAACATTTCCTTAAACTGACAAAACTTATGCGATAAGGCATTAGCTCATATCTTGGGATGGCACTGCCCCTTAACAAGTTTTTATTTTCCTGGAAAATCTTTTTACAGCCTCACAGGCGCTTGATTCATACAAGCCAAATACATCTAAGCATACATTATTTTACCCATTCACTGTTGGCTAATATGCTGGAAATTTCATTATAAGTACTGGAAAAGATTGATGGTTGCGGGAACAAATAGATGTGGGGAAAAAGAGTTTCAGTTCCACAAATCACATGCTTGATGTCAGCAATGCTTTTAATATCATGTTCTGAAAGAGAGCTCTTCTTCAGATGGCTTTGAGAAGAATTCACTTTGTATCTTTAAAGGCTACTCTTACGAAGGACAGGGGAGGATTTGGAAAGCACTCCTCAGAGCTTTCTTTTTATTGCCAGAATAAGAGGCAAAACTATAAAGCCTTCCATTTAGATCAGATTTATAGCTCAGTCTTAGATAAGCAATGCAAAACACTCTAGCTGATGTAATTTAGAATAATCAGACAGCACAGAAGAGGACATTCTCAATACAATGCGTTACTTCCTCTGTTCCTTCCTATCACTGCTGTGATGCAAATGACTGGAAATGAGCTGCTGCTAACCTGTGAGGAGGACAGTGAGTTAACCCCCCCGTGGAAGGCCGGCTGGGCGAGCCGGTGCCCACCGGTACGGACCAGCTGTTCTTTGACCATCAGGGCCTCAGCCCGTTTGATGATGTCCCCCATGCGGTAGATAAAACCCTCCTTCTCCGATGGCAGGATGAATTCATTGTGCACCTGGAAGACAAAAGGTGGGGCACAATATTTAGATACATTTAGAAGTAATAATAAGTTTGAGGGAAACATTCCATCAGTTTACATATGTTGAATTTATTAAATGCATTATTATTTGATTTCTGTAGTGGACAGATAACCTCATTTGACTCTGAAAGACCCTTAAAAACAGAGGAGTTCAACTTAGACAAAGTGACTGCAGAGCATGCCTGTTCTGAGGAATTTGTACTGATAAATGCTGCATGGTTTTTGCCGAATGTGGAGCTGTGCATTAGGGGCAAATAATTTCTTGGAAAACATCCAAATGAACACATCACAATGGACTGAATGTGTACCCCATATTAATAATAATGGATTGTAAATTGTTAGGAAATGGGCTCATAATTCTTATCAGAATGATGGCAGCAATACTCGCTGAGATCACTGCTTATGACTTTCACGGTGAGGCTTTTTGTTCTCATACACCTGAAGGCTTCAGGCCGGCACACTGCCAGCGCTTTTGCTTTTATGGAGCTGCTAGCACTCGCAGTAAATGGCTGCTACTTAACCTCGTAATTCCAACTAAGGTAGAAAGGCTGTGCTTCCATTTTGCTACACTGCTACTGTGTTTTTGTCATTTGAAATACAACTGTGTGATATTAAACCTTATTCATCTCAGGTTCCACTTTCCCCATTTCAAGACCTAGTAACGACTCAATGAAAAGTAAGCCCTATGAACAAGAAGAGGAAGTACTTTCTTTTCTTTTCAAGTATACGGTATATTGGCTTCACTTCCACCAATCTTCCACCTAATGTAAAACTTACACAAAAATCTCAATCTAGCAATCGCTTAGAAGAGTGTAGGAGTCTTCCATATTCATGCAGTTTTGTTGTAAATTGTGGTTTGGGGCGGTGTAATGTTTTCCTGACAGCATGGCACAATTCAGCTAATTTAAAAGCCTGTGCTGAGAAACACGGGGCTGTTGTGATGCCAGGTGCCCCCTCTGTGCCAAGAAAAAATAAACAAAAGCCCACTGTGCTGTAGAGTCAGGGAAACGGCACATTCAGTGAACAAAAATGGCTGCAGCACTTGCTGCCTCATCACACCTTGTCCCATACAAAGGCCCATGCGTGTACACAGCCCCTCTGTTCTGCAGCCCCTAGAAAAAGCTTTGAGACATCAACAGACTAGAGTAGCTTACCTGCGTCACACAATTCTCTGGATGTTTGTCAGTCTTGGGTTGATAATTTTATCTGACTAAAAACGGTTAGCTGGATAAGGTTGAGTCGTGTGTACATTCAGCTGAGATAAAGGAATTTTATCAATGAAGGATGAATCGCGATTCGATCTTTTCTTCACAAAGATTGAAGGTTCTAGGACGTTCTATCTCAGAGAGGATTTCTCCACAGTTAACTATGTTATTTTTATTTTTTGTTATTTAATTTCCTTGGTATGGTTATAAAACAGGCTTCTTTAGTTGTAAATCATGACCAGTGAGTAGGTGTTTTCAGGCAAAATGTTACATATCTGAATATTTGAATGTAAACTATATGTGTTGACTCTCCCGGGTTTTATGCCATAGAATACAACTTTTCTGGGAAATGATTGCCAACACTAAAATGTTCTCAGCACATTGCTTATGACTAAAAACACTTAACAGAGTTATTTACTTACAGTATACCTTGATTGTACGATCTACACAATGAAAAGCAGAAGCAAAGTCAGTCTGCTTTGGAAAAATGTACGTGCTGCTGATTTTTTTTAAATATCCAAAGTCAGAATGTCCATTTGAAAGTCCTCACAGTTAAAATAAAGAGCTGCTATGAAAACAAAATAAATCTCATCTTTGTAGCTCACAGTCTAGTCGGTGCTTTGTTCTGTGACTCAGCGCTAAAATTGGCTTACCATGACAGCGGCGATGTCGTCTGGATTATCTCCATCCAAATCAAACTTGAAGGTCACCATCTTGTCGTTGTGTGTCTGCAGCTGACATTCAACTACGCGGTCCACTTTATCAGACAGCTACAGAGAAAGAGAGGATCCATTGAAACGGAAGCTAGCTATTTTATCCACTGAGACGTTAAAGAACACAGGAACAATATATCTTTGCGTATGTGTGTGAAGAAATGGAAACATGTGAACATTAAGCAAAATATACCATCTAGCTGCGTCTGTATTGTGCCACATGTACATTCTTTGTAATGTAGTTACACATTATGTTTATCTTAGTCAAAACACACTCATAAAAAGCCCACAGAATGTCCTGATCTGAGGAGTAATGTACGGCTGTTGTCAGAAGAACAGCAAAGCTACTGATAACATTGCATCACCAGGGAGGAGCCTGACCACAAACCCATCAAATAAATACCTTCCCTTATTAATCGAACCAGTCTATGCTGATTTATTTGTTAGTCATCGGTAAAAATGCATTTCCAGTGCCATAAAACAAAACGTTTTGTTGCGTTGTACCCCTGTGATGCGCAGCCTGGAACGCGTCCTCTTCCTAAAAAGCTTCCCGGCAGTCCGCCTCGCAGCCGTCTTCTCATTCTTCTCGGACAGGCCTTCATAGCCATCACTCAAGCCTGAGGTCACATCAGAGGCGTAGCTGCACAGAAACGTTGCACATGAGCATCTGGTTAGATTCCTCACAATGCAATTCAACGTCAGTTAATCATGTGAGGCGGAGAATTTAATATCTATTAAGTCTGAGAAAGCTAATAAACAGCAGCTTAGAGCATCATGTGAAAGCCTTTATGTGCCACAGTGGTATGTCTCTTTGGGTGTTAATGGTGAAGTTAAACAATGCAGATTAGCCACAGTCTGTCCAGAGTCTATAAGAGGAAGCACCATGTGAGCTGCTGTGTTTCAACACTGAGCATGTTTAAGATGTCTGAGAGCAGGAGAACACTGAGCACGTTTCATAAAAACCTTTGGTTCGGCTAATTGCGTCTCCTGGGTCTTTTTAGATCACTGCGGTTACAGACTCCCCCCAGTCCACCTCCCCAGAACAGGCTGCAAACATTTACAGGCCTACTGGTTGGCAGCATCCACACATCCCTATGTAAAAACATCACTCCATGGGTAACTTTAGTTCAAAGTAAAGCCTGTTTTCACCTACAAACACTATGTATAGAAGGAAGACCAAAATAAGGTTGGAAACTCTTGGTGACATGGCTAACAATTGTCCTGTTAGGGATTTAGGAGACATACTTCTCCTTTTCTTAGACTTTTCTTCAAAAAAGGAACTCAGCTACTCTTGACATTTCTTTCTTGACATTCAGGCAGCGTCATGTCATTATATAATAGGGAAAAAATAACATCCCTGTCAAATAAGAAGGTAAGAAGATTAACTAAGTTTGAAATTATCTAAGAAAAATTTAGACTGTTTAGGTTGTAAACCAAAAATTGTTCAATGGGTTTCACAGAACTTTAGTCCAATTGTTAAATGTTTGTGGACATAATCTTAACAAATGACTTAACAACTAAAATCATGAAAGTAAGCATTCCCATTTGTGTCTGATAAAAGGACGTTTTTCAGAAAATTGAAGTCTAATAACCCAGATAAATCCTCCAGCACGCACACATGTACATAATTTACTTGTCCACTGTCAGCTCTCCTGCAGAGAATAAAGCCTCTCCTACTAACATCCCACCATCATAGAAAACAGACTCAACACAGCATCTGAGACACAGTCAAATATAAAGCTGCAAGGGTCCGTTCTGCCCCCCTGCAATAAAAACACAGAGGAGCCCGGCGATTGCCCCGAGCTTGTTGTTTCAGCCCCACAGATGTGGAGAGGGAGGAGTTACGGAGGGAAGACATTCCCTCAAGATCTGCACTGATTATCAGGACTCTCTCTTGGATGACATAGAGAGTGCTGGATTTGATGCTCATTGGAAGGTAAGCCAAAGAGCGGAGTGAGGAGCTTTACCTGTCCACAGGAGAGTTGAAGCCACTCGGAGACCCTGCACTGCCACGTTCCGTGTTGCTGGATACTGCAATACTCTGTAATTACAAAATAATCATGTGGTCAGGCATGAAATGAAGAAATAAACACATTTTATGATCCATATGATAATAAGACCATTTGTGAAAGGGTCAAAAACAGTTTGGCGTAAAACAGCTAAATGGCATCAAAGGTTGTTTGTTTGACTGGTGGCAAAACTGGTCAACCAAAACTTTGGCCCAGACTGAAATAGCTAAAAAGGAAATATCCCCTTTGTTAATGCTTGTCATATATTTACACATTAGTGATAATTAGGAGACATGTTAGAGCACTGACATGGTTTAATTGGGTTTTAATAGGTATTTTAAAGAGAGCTTGAATAGTTTACCAGAAAATCAGAGAGATAATTGTCTTCTTTACTAACAGTTACCAACAGAAAAACAAAACCAGCAGTTATTGTGTGTTAATTTCCATCTGCACGCTGTAAACATAATTATGGTGTCAGCCCTAGATGGGACAGATGCTGCAAATCCAAGCACTTTATTGACAGCGCTCACCGAAGGGAAACGGAGGGCTGGGATGGGGAGGCCGTTTACAGCTGGGGGGTTGGTGTGCATGGTGGGAGGGGTTCCAGGCGCGTTGAGGCTGCCGGCCTCCAGCGGATCCTGAAGACCGGAGGAACTCAAGTCTCCATCAGTCTCGCAGTCAGCTGTTTCAACAACGCACATAAGCTATTAGCATGTGACCAGCTGTGACCCAAAAAAAAAAAAAGAAAAGCATAAACTGTCCCATTCACACTCATGCGCACATTTTCCACACTGAAACACAAAGATCTGAAGTCCCCAAACTCTGAAGTGACATGTGCACAAATACATGGACGATGCTGAAGGCATTCAGATTGATTCGTTTGGAGTATTAGTGAAATATCTTGGCTGTTTTTTTTTTAGAAACTACTATTCAAAAACAGGAATTTTCAGTAAGTACAGCCCAGCGCGCGCGCGCACACCATGAGATAAAACCTACAGGGGACTGAATAATTCAGTTATCTACAGTATCACATTTCAGCGTGTCGCTCCAATGTGCTAAGAGATAGGAACAGCTGTCGTGATCAACAGTTTTACAGCCGTGATGGGTTTTTTATAGAGGCCAAAAGAAATCTAATCAGAAATTCAACGGGCCGGTTTTACGCATGTGATCTCGAAATGTTTTTTAACCCTGCAAATTCCAATGAAACGTGTCTATTGGTGGACATGGAACGACCCAGAAACAGAAAGCTGACAGTTTTGCCGGGCAGCTCACAGTTGGCGGAGGACAGACTGTTGCGCCGGCCGTGGAAGTGCTGGTCGGCCTCCGTCTCCTCCGGCTCGGCGGGGTAGTTGGAGCTCACGCCGGAGTCCGCCGAGCTGGTGACCGGGGACGAGATGGTGGCCGGGGGTGTCATGGCCGGGGTGGGGGACTCTGGGGCTTTGGACAACGGCGGCTGAGGCTCCGGCTCTTCTTCTATGGCCTCCTGCGCCTGCTTCTTGTGGCGCTCCTCCGCCTGCCGCCTCAGCTTCTCCCGTTGCCTCTTTATGGCCGTCACTCTGTCCCGTATGGCTTTGGCCACGAGCTTGAAGTCCGCCTCGCACACGAATCCGAGCACGACCTGTTTAACCACACACAGGAATGATTAGGGAACAACAACAACGCTTGTGCGCAAGTGATTGTTACAAATGGCTACAAACACACTTACTGACCTACTCATGCTGTGACATCTAATTATGATTGAAAAAAACATTTGTTTTTCAAAAAGCACACATTGACCGCATTCCTTTTTCAGGCTGGGATCTTTAAATGGGACAGATAGTGTAGCAAAGCAGGACACTCGGTCCGAAACGGCCTCTCAACACATGGTCAGATTACAGCAGATCGACCGGACTCGATGTTCTCCGCCGATACCAAATTTGATCTTGATGAAATCCACCACAAAGACATAAACGATAAAGGAACCGCGGCATGTATTTTCATTAAAAGTGACCTCTGGGAAGGGGGTGTGGCATTAGGAGTCACTCTGGAGGACGCGATGGCCTGTTTTGTAACAAGCATGAGAGCCATTATATTATTAAAGAAGGGGCCTCGGCAGCTTCCTGAGACATGCTCTCACATTTCTAACCAGTGATGATTAAATGCTGAGCCCTGACCTTGAAGCCCCATGCAAGCAGTGCTCCTCATGAGCTTTGGCTCATTTACATCTTTCAGAACTGTAAAAGAAGGATAATGATGCCAAGACGGCGTGCGAACGTGGGTCAAGTCTCAGAAGATCTTTTGGGGGAAAAAAATAATGATGTGACTTTAACAAGACTCCACGACCAAGCTCTCCTCCAAACACAGGGCCTTTTCTTCAAAGCACAAAGATTTACTGTGATAAAAAAAAAGTCTTCATTCAGTTCTCCAGAAAACCAATGAAAGGATATCACTATCAATCGAGACCGGGATGCAGAGAGCATGTGTGCGGCGGCTAAAGCTTCCCCTGGAGTATCTATTCTGATCTGGAATCAATTACACCATTTCCTCAGTAATGGCCGCCACAAACTCTACAGGCTGACATCACATCTTCACGTGCCAGCCTACCATCTCCTGGGCCACCTCCTCAGGCACGTCCTTGTAGAGCTCAAAGAGGAACTCGATGGCGTTGTTGTCTTTGTATTTCCCGTGGAGCTTCTTGGTGTCGTCCATGCGCAGCCACAGCTTCAGGCCGGACTTCACCGTGTCGTCCTCCTCGGCCAGCTCCACGTGCACCCCGTTGTTTTCCTGGAAGAACGGGTGGTCCAGAAGGTCCTGGATGGTGTACCTGGGAAAAGACGAGAGGGTGGCGCTTGTTTTTCGTTCCTCCAGGGAATTTCAAGAACCATTTCCAAAGAAAGAACACATTTAATTGCATTGTCATAACTAGTTTCAGTTTTGCATTCAGCAAAAGTTTATTGATTGGTTGAGAAATAAATGAAGTCTTTTCTTTTTTTACCTTTCATCTTTGATCATACGAATGCAACCCTCAATGATCTCCTTGAGTTCTGGGACTTTGACTTTGTAGAAACTGTCAGGTTTAATGCCCTGCAAGAACATACAGAAGACAAAAGTTGGATTTCTTTCTGAATTGTACTTTAAAAAAAAACTACTCCAATGATTTCTGACTCTTTATACACAGTATACAGCTCTGGTGTCAGGGGATGGAAGCAAAGCAACAGCCACTCCCACCTCCCTGTTAATATAATCACCAGCTCTTTGACATCTGCCACCAGCCAGCATGACATTTGGCTCTGTGATCACGTCAACACCTTTGTGGGAGCATACAAAGAGCTCATGAAAATGGAAAAAACCCAAGATGCTCTCCTGTTTCCTTCCTTTCCTCAAAACTAATCATTTGACGCATTTTTTTTCTGCTAATCGCAGCTGCACTTTCTACAGCATCTACCACAGGAAGGGAATTATTTCTGCAAGCCGTCTCTCTTTGTGAAATCAGTTTTCTGAATGTTATCATGAGAAACGACAGAGATTACATTAGAGTCCCAGTCCCTGTAAAAACAACGATAAAACAGGAAAGAGCCAAGGTCAAAAAGATGTTTGGCCTGAAGATACCGAAGCATCCGGATGATGTCAGGTCAAACACCCAAACAAAATTTATTTAGAAGTGAAAGCCTTTCCTTTCACATTCAGACACTGATATGTCACAGTTTGACACATTAACTTCGGCTGTTGTTAGTGCCGAAGTTAGTTCATTTTCTGAGGTTTTTTTCTCAAAAGTCAGAGCTTCCCCAGAGCAGGAAGGACAACTACGAGTTTTTATTTCTCTATAAGTGGACCCGACCTTTGCTTTTTGCCTCTTGAGAATTGATATTGATCTGTTATGTAATAATCAGCATAACTCAGTTATTGCCCATACACTATTGCCACTCAGATCAGTGCAAATAGGAGATACCTCAAAATACTTTGGTTTGATCACAATTCAACTTGTAAATGCGATCTGCGGCAGATCAACAAGGTTTCCTTTGTGAGCAGTTCCTTTCCGCGTCTTCTTACGCTCATTTAGAATAAATCCGTTCTCTCTCGATCCAAACCTAATTTATTATTCAGCTCCTTTCCTGTGGTGATGGAGGTCTAGATAAGATCTTGAGAAACATGCTGAGGTTATGTTGCTTATCTTTAGTGTGCTCCATCTGGCTACCAGAGAGGAAAGCAAGGTTATGTATGAACATGTTTAAAACAATGCTCAAACCATGCTTTCAGTCTAAATGCTGTTATTCATCCTCACTATGTGATGGTGACTTAAGTGACTTATCACAGCTAAATTAGTCGAGTACATTTTGTTCTGCTCATTATTCGGTGCAACAGAAATGTTCCATTCTTATGACCTCACACACATTTTGCCAATGTTTTCACCAATTCCATCTAAACTGGTGCTTACTGTGGGCAATTACAAATCTTGTTCTAACTTAATACAGTAATAATCCAATTTCATTTGTGCATGAGCCCTTCGTCTTCCATCATGACAATGCCTCCGTGCAGGGAGGCAGCTAGATGCAGAAACTGTTTTCTCAGATTGTCGTGGAAGAGCTTTACGAGCCGGCAAACGGCCTCGACCTCTGCCGCATCAAAAACCTGAACTTGAACCGCAAATCAGGCCTTATCTCCCAACATCGGTGTAAGACCTTGCTGGAGCTTTTTTTGGGTAAACAGGAGCAAATCCCCGCGGCCTGGTTCCAACATCTGGAGGAATACTTCTCCAGAGGAGCAGAGGACGTTGTAATGTATAATACTAAAGTATCGACTCTTCCTTTCATGATCCATCTCCCACTACATTTATTTTGGCCTGGTAGTGCTTGTGTAATCTTGATGACACATCAACACAAACACACAAATAGCAGCAAACCTGCACCATAACTCTCACTTTGTAGGCGAATTGAAAATATATTACGATTCAGGGCAAGAAAAAGCAGTTATTAGCTAAGAAAAGGGCAAAACGTGTTTGTTATGTCAAGCTGTATTCCCTATAAAGGCGATTTAAGTAGCTAATAAATACATCCAGTTTGCAGGTAAATGTTGTGAAAAATGTTACTGCCAGTCAAATAAATGTATGTGTCATCTGTTCTTACAGTATAAAACATTAATGAGTCATGAAAAGGCACATGGATTTCTTTTTTATGTTGTTGCGTGGCTAAGCTTCTCAGACTGCACAGGAAACATTATATACTCCTGTTTGTGGAGGAGCCAGACCCACACTGAGTTACTGGCGTTGTCACTTTCTCACTTTCCAGCCTCTTTGAGATGCTGTTGCACACGTGACCCACGGGGAAGAAAGAGCCCTCGTTGTAGAGTAAAGAGTGCGACACATTTTCCAAAACATATCATTCGTCCTTCGTCTGCTCCGGCCAAAAGTAGTGCCACTTATTCAGAAACAAAATCAACAAACACCAGTATCAAGAAGCCATTCCAGTTTTCCATTCAAACAGCTTCATGACCAAGGAGAGGCTCTATTGAAAGCGTCAGCTATAACCAGTTAAACAGGATCTTTGACCAATAAAGAAGCTGACAATTGGTGCGTAAAACATGTGCCATCCTGCGTCATGATTACAGGCAGAGAAGAAACAAGTTACAGTATAATTTTACTGCAGCCCTGACCTAATGGAACGATCTGAGCCTTTAATAGACATAACAAAGCTGATTTCCATGCATTCAGGATGTCCCACAGTATATCTGACATATCCCAGTTCCTCTTTCTCTAATCCTAGCGCGCACATGGATGACAGAAAACACATGTAGACAATTAGATGAAATAGGGGGGTAGAGGAATTATGTGGCCCTCATCGTCCCCTTTGCTTACACTGGTGACTTTGCGGTAGATCTGGGCGGCGTTTTGGCACTCAGAATATGGGTACTCAGAGGTGGCCATCTCCAGGATGCACATTCCCAAGGCGTAGACGTCCACCGCTTCGTCATACTTCTCCTCGTACATCTCGGGGGCCATGAACTCCGGTGTTCCTGCAAGAGTTCATGGAATGTTAAATACTCAACTAATGCAGCTGAATCATTGCATAACAGATTAATCGATTTGTTTTAAAATGTTAAATACACTTAAATGTAAGCATTTAATTAACCCTAAATACATAGAATTATTTTGGCCTTCTGACAGAATCAAACACTTCCTGTTATAACTGGTGATTGTTGCTGCTTTTTCGCACATCCTTTCAAGTTGCTCATATGCAAATTTCCCATTCAACAACTCCGACCGCATGTTGTCAAGTCTTAAATGTTTATCTTACAGATCCCTCCTTCTTGGAGTTATTGCAGAAAGTAGCTCAAAACAGACTTACCAGTAAAAGAGTGTAAATCTTTAAAGCTGCAACGCAAAGCCATAAAGATTCTTCATAATACTGCGCTGAGCCAAGTCTGTTAATAATTCTCCATGGGTTAAATTCTTTTAAGATGACTTATTAGGTTAAGTAATCTGAACCATATATTTAAAAGAAATGTGTCATACCAAAAAATAAAAAATATAGTAGCTTTTGACAGATATTTTGAAAAATATTAAGTTTCTTTTTGTTTATTCATTCAAACTTGAACGCATGCATATATGTCAGGATTTTCATGTTAAACTGGAGTCTACAAGAGCTGAATTAGCTCTGAAATGCACTGAGTTAAGAACTAGCATTGGGGAGCTAAGATAACTAACATTCTGCTCGTTTATTCATCTGCACCAATCAAGGACAGCTGAGGCAGCTGGGAATGTTGTTATTGTTTTGTCAAATATTTTTTTTTGCATTTAACATGCGTGTTGAAATGCATGTTTTCTTTTAATTCATACCGACAGAGCAACAAACTCACTGTTAATGTTGAGTTTGCAAGTTTTACTTGTCATCCAAATATATTGCCATCATTTGAGTAGCAGCGGATGATTATGGATTATGGAGAGGTTGTTCATTTACAGAGTGCCATTGTGTAGGTGGTTATATGTTGCAATGCACCGCTTCTTACACTGCATGTGACGTTAAAAATTCAGCTGCTCCCAGGGAACAAACACAACACCTGCACACACTCCTTATAGCCTGCAGAGTTCAACCACACCTCTTTTTCTGCTGGAATTCATCTTGCCAACCAATCTATTTTTTACTCTCTATTAAACATTGTATTAATCTAAGAGTTGATTAACCCACCATTAATTAAGTATTGTTCAGTTAAATTAGAATTAAAATATTCTAATCATTCTGAGTGAGAAAATCCAGAAGCCTGCTCTTAAAAGCCAGAGAAAATATCTCTTAACCTGTGTAAATACCACAGTTCCAGAACTAAAAGCATGTACATGACAAAAAAAAAACATTTAGTCAGTCCTTCAAAATCCTCACCAGACCAAAAAGTTCAATTTAGCTGCCAACAAAGTCTTGGAAAAGAAAACACATTAAGCAATAGTTATATTAGTTATTATTCACATAAAGGGAACCTTTATGACTGCTTACTTAGTTATGGTAGAAATACTTCAGTCTGGACAAACAATTAGACTGAATGACCGAATGGTCGTCAGGCATTAAATATGTAAATCTGTTTTTCTTTTCTTTTCTTTGAATATCATTTATTTAAATTGAATCGTGTCCATTGCATTTCAGAACTAATTTAAGTATGCATGAACTAGTCACTATGCTGCGTCTGATGGTGGGTAATGCCTACGTGTCCTTCATCATAAGGCGTAATTTTCTGCTAAATTTAAAGCAATTTGAGTAATCACGCTGCGTTTTAAGATGCGAACAGGAAGAAACTCCAAATCTGTGTTTGTTTGTATTAAGAGAAAAAGTGGAGTACGTGAGGAGAAAACTTATTTTTCCAGGAGCGGATGAATTCTGTATGTTTATTCCATTCTCAAACCGATTCTTGACATTTTAAGACATGCGTTTATTCCTAAGTCTGTTCCAGATGCAATAGATATTACCTACCAATGACACTTTTTGCAAATGAGGCACTTTTGAGAGTGGCAAGCCCCAGATCTCCGATCTTGACGGAACCGGTGGGGCCGGTGATGAAGATGTTGTCACACTTGAGGTCGCGGTGGATGATGGGGGGCGTGCGCGTGTGCAGGAAGTGAAGTCCTTTGAGGATCTGGCGACTCCAGCGTTGCAGCAACTTCAGCTTCATCTCTTTAAACCTCTTCAAGTACCTAAAACAGCAGAGGCCAACATTCGACAGCTGAGCGTAAACATATCTCCACACAGCAAGAACAGGAAGCTTTTAAGTCCCACAAAGTCATTCATCTCTCAGTTTGAGAAGCCAGAGGAAGTTTCGAAGTGAGAGTTTCCTGAATTCTCTCCTAGAACTATTCTCTGCTTTTGCTCTGCACCTCATCTAACATCCCAAGACAGTGTGTCACACATAAAACAAACATCTTCCATGGCACGCAAGACGAGGCTTATGTAGATAGAGAACATTCCGCTATCGGAGACATAAGACTGAGTAAAGGAATGGGAGGAACTCACGTCTTGAGGGTGCCTGAGGTCATGAGTTCAGTCACCAGAATGATGCACTTTTGGCCCTTCATCGTCGACTTCCACGAGTCGTGGAAGCGCACGATGTTTGGATGCTGGAGTCCTTTCAGCATATCCACTTCCTCGCTGAAACGCTGTCGCTCGGCCTTGGTCAGCTTACGGGTCTGCGGGGGGAGAAACATCATGATGAATGTGCGTCCATCACTGCGATTCGGGTTCGGACCCAACATGGTTCAAGTCCGCGTGAAACCACCCGATTATTTGTCTCTCTGCATAATGAATGTGAAAAACGGCCTTGAAAACCAGGGAAAAACTCCCTGTAAAGTTCATTTGAAAGCTCCACAGCTGGGGCTTAATGGACCTTGAGGTGAGACTGTTTTGTCAACGCTGAAAATGCAGTTGTGTTGACAGTTCTGTGGAGGTTTAGGACGCACACGCTCTGGTCTTGTCGTGGTTACATTTGGTTACATAAGCTGGCTGCAGTAAAGAGCGCAGATACGGGAGACCGAGTTGACAAATCATTGCTTCACCGGCTAATGAGCTCAGTGTCGGATTGGAAACCACAGGTTTGACCATGTGGGTGAGCCTACAGTTGCATAATCATATTTATTGTCCAATAAAGGGAGTTTATAAATTTATGGAAGAGATTTTAAAAAAGTCTCCAATCAGGTTGGATGAACAAAGACATTTTTGTGCTTCCTCTGGGATGAATGGCCCGATTTAGCCGGTGGTGGAGTAAGTCTGCTGGCGGTGGGTGGTTAGTGGAAAACTCCTCGGAGACTCCAAGACCATGAATCCTGCATTGAGGTCCATTTCTGGGAAAATGCTCTACATATGTTTATGCTCACAATCAACCTGACTGCCACTCTCTGCTTCCTTTTTGCCTTTTTCCCAGAACGTGAGGAGCCTGTGCTGCAAATACTGAGCCATCGTACCCACCACAGGAGGCAGACTGTCCGAAAACCTGCAAAGCATGAGCTCACACGGCGAAAAAGTCCTCTCAACTGCGTCAGTCACCCGTCAGAATGTCATCTCGCGCCTACGACTAAAGCACAAGGCCCTAAAAATGTCGAGCCACACACCCAAGCTCTGACCAAGTAGATTACCTTTAGGTGGACTGTTTGTAAAGGGAACATAGGAAATAACCCGTCCTTAAAATGCAAAACCTGTCTAACAAATGTGGAGTAACTCACAAAAGAAAGAAACATTTTTCCTTCAAGGTTTTTCTGTTACAACAAAATAGAATTATTCTAACAAGTTTAAAAGTCACCATGACTCAAATAAACAGTTAAATTACACGAATTTAGATGAATCTTTAGTCTAACTCAAATAGGTTTCAATTCAATTTGTCTCGGACACACTAAATTTAGCTTTAAGGACTCTGAGGTTTACCACTGCCATAGATCACTGGGCCCTGTAAAAACAAGGAAACGCACAGAAATAAACAAATCATGGTTTAAATGTAAAACGCGAGCAAAATTACATGGGAGCCACGACGTGTGAGTCACTGGGTTTATGGGTTGATGTGCATCTGGATATTTATGTATCTAAGCGTGATAACATCAGACCCCTGTGCAGTGAGCTTTGTCTCCTGTGGATAGGCGCCTGTGCAGAGAAATTAAAACAGTTTGCAACAGAGTTGGCGTAACGCGCTCTGGCTGTGGCACGCCGTCCTGCCAACAGGAGACCCGGCCTCTTCCAAAACCACAGGACTTACTACATCTTGGCAAGCGGGGCGGTATGACAGCTAACTACTAAAACTTTAAAAGCAGAACTTCTTGGAAAAACCAAACTCCTGCCCTGGCGGCTTTGAACAACAGATCTGGAGCTGACGATCACCCATTATCCAAACCTGCCGTCCATTCACGTAAAAAGTCAATAACTGGAAAATATTTGGGGAAAATGACGTGCAAAGGGAAAAAGAAAATGAGAAAACTCGAAGCTGATGCAGTCACGCTGCTCTTGATGTCGACGCATTAAGGAGAGACAACAGCCGACAACTCAATTTTAATGCAGTAATAGATTGTTTTCGGAACATGACACAACCAGATGAGCAGATATACACCAGAACAGACCAGATTATTGCAGATGAGCTTAGTTTAGTTTAGTTTGTGGCCTATTGTCTACAATGTTACCTGAAAAAGGAAAATAATCACAGTAGGGGATCCTATAAAGCATTTCTATGAAATGTTTGAGGAACTCTGACTGTCCCAAACTCTCTCTTCCCCCTCCTTTATTTGGAAAACCGAAGCCAAAAATATTGCACAACACAGAGCAAAACCATCCGGGGGGGGGGGGGGCAAAAAAAAAGACTATCTGAGATTTGAGAGGACAAGTGGACATACCCATAAAAGCAACCTTGAGTCAGAAATGTGTGAATTAATCTCCACTGAGTTATTCTTAGCCGGGGAAAGGTGAGTGTGTGTTGAGCCGGGGGTCCACAATAGTTAGAGCTGGAAATACTGGGCATGGTGCCACATAAGTGGACTTACATAAGCTCTGTTTATGGTAGAGGAGCCATTGGTATTAAGAAGTCCCTGTCAGCGCCTTTATTATGACAACCAGGACACGAAGAGGACACGTCAGCCAGCACCGGCCCCAAACCAGTCGGGGTTTAATAATGAGGGTCTTATTAAAGGGGTCACTCACAGATATAGTAACTCTTGAAAGGGTTTGGGTAATATCCAGCCTGTGCGGACAGAATCTCGACTAAAGTGAGAAAAAAGTAGGGCAAGAGAGAAAAAAATGGATTCAGTCATAGTACTTACCGCCTGAAGGGATGAGTGTTCAGGGTTAGAGACAGATTCCTGTGTTTTCTTTTTTCTAAAACTTTGATTTCTTCAATATTTGTGTTGTGTGGCTAGAGAGAGGCAATTGAATCAGTTTGCAGAGATTTCTGATATTTTACTGAACAACATTAGACCCTTCAACATAAGTTTAATATCACGACAAAGAAATTAATGGGTTATTTTTCTGGAGAGGACTCTCACTCTATTTATGGTGGATTCTTGCTAATTGTATCTTGTGTACATATTGCACTTCTTTGACTGTGTTTCTCTTGTAAAAGAGATTTTTGAACTCACTGGTGCTTTCCAAAAAAGCAAACTATGCAATCAGCTGATAATATCTTTAAACACTGGTCACATAAAGTGAGGTTTATGTGACCAGTTTAAATATAAAACAGGGATTTTTCAACTGTTTGGATGCTCTAATTTGAACTAATATTACTTCAGTTACATCATATCCAGCACATTGTTTTCTAATGCATTTTTCCCATTTTAAGGTTCCATTCAATAACCACATTTGTAATTTTAATTATTTTTCATTGTTTTTGTCTGAAAAATAGCTTACTTTCACAGAGCACTGCTCAGATTTCTTTATTTGTTTCTTCAGTTCATTAGCTGGCATAAGTCAATTATGAAATGTATCAAATGTGCCACTTAACTCAGGAAATATTGGCACATATCTCTTTGTCATCTTTATATCTTGAATATCTCTTGGTTTTAAAGGAAAACAAAATGGGAGTGAGAATTTGTGGTCTAAAAAATCTAACTCTTTTAATAATTAATTGAATATTAACAAGGAGCAATAACCTTTGTATTGATATCTGTGACCAGGGAATGTGCATGTACAGCTATTACATTCTGTAGGATTCTGTTATATGATAGTCGTGAACACTTAAAAATTGACCCCAACCTCTGTTTGAACCCGTGTAGGAAAATGTTCCAGCTCCTCTTCCTGTGATCGACTTCATTTTGAAAGAGCCATCAACACCTGTGACCCGCATGCTGCCAGAGACCCCCTCCAGAGAGTTCAGAGACCCTTTTAATGACTGCAGAGAACTTGAACTGCTAACTGCTGCGCATTACCGAACTGCTATCCATCAGGTGCTGTGACGCCCGGTCGGGATTGAGGTCAGAGGCGACCGGTCGGGGAAAAAAAAAGGCCTGACCTCATGCAGGACTGACATACCGGCCGTGACTGACATGCATTAGGTCCACACATGCACGCAGACACGTACACTGGCGCGGTGTTGCTTTGAGATGTTTGCAGGTGAGAACTGAGGCGCTAGTGTGCTCCTTCCAAAAAAAAGAAGAAAAAAAACTGACATGCTCTGTAAATGAAGTGGGCAGAGAGAGGTTAGCCATTAATCTCATCAGGATTGAGGACTCAAACCGGCCTCTGAGTGCTGACTGCTCACTCCGAGAGCCTGACGTGACTTGTGGCGCCTGGCTAATTACCGTCCCGCTGCAGCCTTTTAATCGGGAAAAATGCTCTCCTTCAAGCAAATCTTTGTCATTCAGATCGAGACACTTTTCTTCACTTAAATGTTTCATGTAAGCTTTCTTTGTACATAGCCGTTTAATTAAGCTTAATTCAATAAGTGAGATTGCCAATTTTAGGCCATTTAAAGCCCTGGTTTATCTGTGCAGCTCTATACTGTTTAGATAAGGGCCTAGCCATCCTTTGGTCAGTGTGATTTCTAAGAAAGGGCCGCAACGCTGTGAAAGGCTACTTATCTGGGAGCAGAGGGTCATATATTGTCTGTTTACGTGGGTACTCTTAACGTGTCTTAACCTGTATGGTGTTTGCTTTTAGTAACTCATTAAAGCCTTTGTTGACATTGTTCTATAACTGCTCTGCATTTATAGTACGGTCATCCTATCCAGGGAAGACTTCCTCTTTCATAATCCTCTCCAGTTGGGAGTGAAGAATCGACTTGCACAATGAATGAAACTGATAACTTTTCCATGCACACAACATGCACAATTTATCTTATTCCTTGGGGTCTACATACACAGTAGCATTGTTTTTGGACATTTTTTTTAACCTACTTACATGCCTTATTTCAGCCGTTCTCACAAAGGGCGTTTAAGGAGATGATCGTGGAAGGAACAAACTCTTTGTTCCCCTCAGGAACCCAGTCAACCACAGAAAGATCACAAGATGCCTGAAGGACACAGCTTGTGAGAGTATTGTCTTAAAAACCGGGCGGTTCTGCGATATGACTATGAACACGCAGAAAAAAGCAAAAGTTGAAGGAGTCTTTGTGATTTCTGCTTGCGATTATATTCAAATTTGAGCTAAAACTGTTGTTTTGTGTCTGAGTGACCTAATTCTGTTTGCTCTGTTTGCTCACCAGCATCATGTCTTTATTCTTCAATTTAATTTCTCACTGCGGTGTTCCTGACGCCTCAGGTGAACACAGAAAACTTTTTCTCAGATGTTT